GAGCTGCTCAGCGGCTTGTTCACGATGACCACCGTGTCCCAGGTGGCCCCGGCCCGGTACTAGCCGCCCCCGGCCGGGCACCAGCCGCCCCCGCCCCGGCCCCTGATCCCCGCCCCCGCCCGGGGAGCCGCCGGGGGGGCTCGGTGACCCCCGCGTCCCCGCAATAAAAAGCGCAGAGACGACCAGACGTGTGCGCCTCGCTCACTGGGTGCGGGACGCGCCTCGGGGGGAGGGCGGGGGGGGCGGGGGCGGGTCTGGGGGGAGGTTGGGTTTGGGGTCGTGGGCGAGGTTGGGGTGGGGGTGCGGGGCTCGGGGATGACGGGGGGGTTGGGGTGCCCTCGGCGGCGCACGGTGGAGGTGCACGCTTCGGGGGTGATGGAGGATTTGGGGTGCGGCGTGGGGCGCCGGTTCGTGGGCGTGGTGCGGGGTTCGGTCGTGGGGTCCGGGGCAGTGTTGGGGTGCGGGGACGGGGGCTGGGGCGGGGTCCGGCTGGGGTGCGGGGGACGGCTCGGAGTCCGTGATGACACCCAAGACCGGCTTCCCTCGGGGTCAGGGCAGGGGTGGCCGCGTTGGGGGTGACGCTGGGGCATAGAAGACCCCCCACCACCACATGGGCCGGTCCCGAGGACGATGGCGCATGTGGGGCTGGAGTCCAGGACCAGGTGTAACAGCCGCCGGTCCCCAGCCCAGGATTTGCCTGGACAAGGGCACAGCACAGTGCGAGGCCTCTGGCCACAACCTTCTTGCTTATGAACTTTGCCCCTGGGAACGGTTTTCCCCCAGACCCCTTGATGTGCACATGGGTCTGTACCTTGCATCAGGCCATTGGGTCTTAAAGCCAGAGTAATGGCTGAGTGTGAGCCCTATGTCCTTTTAGTTATTGTTATTTCTTTACGCCTTATGTAGTTTCAATTTTATTAGGAATTTTATGGCTACAACTCTCCTGCTAGGTACTGGTGCTTTACTGGAACTTTAATACGCTCATTTTTATAATGGGAACACAATACGTGCCCTCCATTTTAGATTGTTATTAGAAGAGTTAAAGAGAGATAAACATGTAAAATTGTATATGCATACATATGTGGCTATATGATATATAAAATACATTTTATGATTTATAAAAATAGAGTTGTGCTAGAGTAAGAATTTTATTTATTTATTTAAGATTTTATTTATTCATAGAGACACACACAGAGAGAGGCAGAGACACAGGCAGAGGGAGAAGCAGGCTCCGTGCGGGGAGCCCGACGTGGGACTCGATCTCCAGGATCAGCCCTAGGCTGCAGGCGGCGCTAAACCGCTGCGCCCCCCGGGGCTGCCCTAGAGTAAGAATTTACTAAGACTTTGGGTTGGTACTATTTACAGTCCGTGATACTGTCATTTCTTTTACATTTCTTATTTAGCATTTTTATGTCATACAGTGAAATGAACCTCTTTGGAGCCCCATTCGATGAATTTAACACTTGGAGAAATGTGTGTATCCACCACCACAATCAGGACATGAACAGCTCCATCACCCCGAAAGCCTGGTTTGGTACCACAGTCCCTTTTCAGTTGTCAGGATTTTTGCTGAATTAACACGTGTTGAGGGGAACCCCAGGCAAGGGTGTTGGACGATGCGCCGAGGTTCAACCAAGAATGAAAGGGAAAGGGAAGCAGAGAAGCATATCACTCATACCTCCCTGAAGAGGCGCACAGCATGTCTGGAGCGACTCATGGGGAGGTCAAGGCAGGGCAAGTGCAGAGGGGGCAGCAGGCCGTGGAGCATATGCCTTTACTAATAAGTTCATGGGTGAAAGTTTCTGGGGTTTCTGGGCTAAGGCTGGATTGAGCACTTCAAAACAAAAAGAAGAGTGGTGATTTGGTAAGCTCTGCGGGAGTCCTAAGGGACCCGTAGAGGGAGGAGCCAGCACGCAGGAGAGACTGTTTAACACTGGGGTGACTGGGAAAGTCCTACCCGTGCTTAGGCCTACTTGTGACTCGGCCGGCCGTCATCCAGAGCACGTCCTTGAGGGCAAGCTAGCGTCTGCTCGACTCCTGCATGTTGTTGAAGCGGCAGTATTTTGGAGTAAACTCTAAGCACTCGTCAAACCCTTTCCTCACCTCCTCTTGAACAACCACTGCTCTGTTCTCCCTCGCTGTGGAATAGCCTTTCCCAGAACAACTTGTGTATATAATTCATACAGGATGTCACCTTCGAAACTGGCTCCCGTCACTCAACATATTTTTGAGGCTTATCTAGATTGTTTATCTAGAATGTATCAATAGTCGTGTTTTATTGTCAAGTTTTATTCCATTATATGGATATACCACATTTTGTTTGATTATTTGCATAGTGTAGGACATTTTGGTCTCCAGGTTTGGGGAATCTTGAATAAACTGCTATAAACATTTATGGATAGCTTTTGTATAAACATGAATTTTCATTTCCCTAGGGTGAACACTAAGGATTTGAACTACTAAATCATATGAAAAGTTCCCTCAGCCTGCTTCCAATTAGCCTCACCCTCATTTCCTATAGGCAACCACTGATCTTATTCTTCCCCACCATATATTAGTTTTGCTTATTCTAGAACTTCAAATAAATGGAATAAGACATGCAAGTACTTTCAGTGAAGCCTCGAGATTTATCCATATTTTTGCACGTATCAATGACCCATTCCTTTCCATCATTGTTATTTAGTTGTATTGATAAACTATATATATTCAAACTCTGATCAAAAAATGGCCTGTTTAGTTTTTTATTATCATGAATATAGCTACTATAAAGGTTTGTGCTCAAGGTCTTGTGTGTAAATGTTTTCATTTCTCTTGGATAATTCCTAAAGTGGAAGTGTCAGATGTATACCTAGCTTTATAAGAAATTGCTTAACTGTTTTCCAGTGTTCGTACCATTTTACACTCCCAGTATGTGTGAGGGTCCCAGTTGTTCCCTATTTTTGCCTACATTCAGTGGTGTCAGCTGGTTAGCTTTAGCCATTCTACGCCAGGTACATATATAGTGATACCTCATTGTGGTTTTAGTTTGCAAATAACTAATGATGAGAGGTGTTGAGCACATTTCAATTTTCCATTTTGGTAGGTTTTACTTAGACTTGTCAAAAGCACAATAACCCTTTTCCCACTAAAGCACATATGATCCTTAATATTTTCTCTTCTCCTTGACTTCCTGAAACTTAAATACTATGATGGGAAAAGGGTTATTGTGGTTTTGGTGTACACAGGATAGTCGCACCATGTCAGGTCTATGTAGAACTTTGTTATTATCTTTATTACGAATCTAGGAATTTTTAAAGGAGATGGGTCTGGGTGCCAAGTTGATAAAGGGTGTACTTGTGATCGTTAATTTTATATGTCAAATTGGTCAGGCCAGTGTACCCTGACATTTGCTCAAAATTTACCTTTGATGTTTCTGTGAGCTTATTTTGTAGTTGAGCTTGACATTTAATCAGTGGACTTTGAGTAAAGCGGATTACCAGCCCCCATTTGTTGATAGCTCTCACTCAATCAATTAAAAGCCTTAATAGAAAACCCCTTGGAAGAAGAGGGAACTTAGCCATTAAGCCTGCAAACTGCCTTTGAACTCCAACTGTACCTCTTTTCTGGGTCTCTAGACTGCTGGCGTATCCTGCAGATTTTGAGATTTTCAACCCTTCACAATCATGTAAACCAATACCTTAAAATCAATCTATTTTTAGATATAAGCAGACATATGTATACGTATATGGGCACATATACAAGTATACACACACATTATACATACAAAGATTCTGTTCATTTGTATCTCTAGAGAAATCCAATGCTGCTCATATACCTAACACCAGGGTTTTTGGTGACCTCTCTATATCCTCAATGCAAGGAGTTAGACCAGAGGCCTAAGGAGGCTTTTTTTTAAACCCAAACCCAAATACTATCCACCAGTCACATTCCGTAACTCCTAAGCATTCTTGTCGTAAGACAGTAAGGAAGCTGCCCAGGCCTACATTCCCGGTTGAGAAGATTGTACCAGAAAAAGCTAAGTTACAAAGGAGGATACACCCTAACACTTTTGCAGTAAGTTAGACTAGGCTTTTAGGGTTCCGAAAGACCCTTCCGGGCAGCCAAGTGAGTGCGCAGGACCGGCGGCGGAGTCTCTGTCAGATGGGCCTCTTTTGTATTTTCTTACCTACTGACTGCTTCCCCATTGTTGAAATGGAGGCATGAAGACTACCCTAACCGTCCCACCCATTTAGAGGCGCTTAACTCACGGAGACCACCGCCTACACATCCCCCAACACACACACACACACACACACACACTAAAGGCAAAACAGAACTGCCAAACCGCGTCCTTAAACCTCACCCCACCAGATCAGTTCCGTACACAGCCTCAGGCTAAAGGGTGCATTTTCCGAAAGCAGAAGGACTGAGAGGGAGATTACATTCTGGAGAGTTCTCACTGTCCCTCCCAAACCCCTAAAGACAAGTGGAACGTACAAACACGCAGCTAGTAACGTTTGCACGTGACACTTGGACCAAAAAGCCTTGAAAAGGTAGGATTCTGAAACAGGATGCTGTCCTCTTGGGCAAGAAAGGCCCGGTCTCGCAGGCCGACGACCACGCAATAGGACAGAAGCACGCCGATTCAACACACCTGAGTTACCTACCAGTGGCGGGAAGACGCCCAGGACAAGTACGTCACAGCGTGGCCCAGGCCCACGTCTGAGAATGGAACCTAGGCCCACAACCGTGAGTTCCAAGGCACGCCAGACGCCTCGACAGTGGAACGTGGCCCCCTGCTTTGCGCGGGACACATTCGCCTTGGCGCCCGAGGAAGGCCCACGCGGCCAAGGTTGTCTGTGGATGGACTGCGCGGCACAGCCGGAGCCGCAGGCGCACGGACCGCTGCAAGTGAATGACCACGCGGCGGCCCGAGGCACAGCCACCCGCTCTTCCCCTTGCTGCTTCCCGACAGGTGGAGCAGCTATCCCGTGTTACAGAGGAAGGCGAACGCAGGCGAGGGGCATCAGAACGGCTTTATTGTGGATTGAGGGCAGCAGCCCCGAGGGCCCATGCCATCTAGTGCTCCCCAGGGGTACGCGTGGGGCGTGGGCAACAAAGGAGAACCTGGGTGAGCACCTGGAGAGACACCGGCCTGCGCTAAAGCAGATCCCCGACGGGGGGAAAAAAAAAATGGAACCGAGAGCCGTGTGCAACGTCCAACCGTCCAACTTGCAACAGAGGTGTACGGGGGTGGGGGTGGGGGCCCGCAGGGGGGTTGGGTGCAAGAGGAGGCCAGGCAGGGGTAAAGGGGCCGCTCGGTGTCCCGTGGCCAGCCTTGGGGGAGAGAGCCAAGTCCTCCAGGCTGACCCCGTGATGCTGGGGTGGTTGCCGCGCCAGTGACGGCACGAAGTCTGTGGGACGCGGGAGCCTGCAGTCCAGCGGCGTCCGGTGGAGGCCCTCGGGCGGGCGAGGAGCAAGACAGGTGTGCAAGTGCCGGGCCCCTGCCCGCCCGTCCGTGGGCACCGCCGCCCGCCCGCCCGCCCGCGGTCGGACGGCGGGGCAGATGCCGGGCACGCGGCCAGAGGCGGAAAGCGGCTTCGCGGCTGGCGCGCGCCGACTCGTCCGTCAGACGCCCTGCCCCGACGGGGACACGGCTTCCTGCAGAACGAGGTGCAGCAGGTGGTTCTGCTCCGCACTGAGCAGCGGCCACATGTCCACCTGCAGCGACTTGACGGCCTCCGTGTCCTTCTCGTGGGTGGCCATGACCAGGGACTGGAGCAGCAGGAAGAGCTCGTCGGGAAGCTGGCCGCCGCCGTCGGGCCCGTGGCCGTCGAAGGCCTCCCAGGAGTACTTCTCCAGCGTGTGGGCGTGCTCGGGCAGCAGCTTGGCGGGCGGCGGCTGCAGCAGCAGCAGCAGCAGCACGCGGGACACCTCGCAGCGGACCAGCACGTCGGAGAAGGCGCCCAGCGTGGCGGGCGCGGGCGCGGGCGCGGCGCCGGCAGGCAGCGGGGCGGCGGGCGGGCGGGCCGGGGCCAGCGGGCCGGGGGGCCGACAACGACGACGACGACGACGACGCCGCCGCCGCCGCCGGCGGGGCCAGGGGCAGCGGCGGGGCGGGCGGCGGCGGGGCCGGGGGCGGCTGCCGCAGCGGGTGGCTGCCGTGCTCCCGCGCCAGGCGCTGCATGCGCGTGAAGACGGCCAGGGCGCCGCTGTAGTCGCGCGCCAGCAGCTGGCAGGAGGCGGCGTCGCCCAGCGCCTGCAGCGCGGCCAGGGGCAGCTGCGGCAGGTGCAGCTGCGCGGCGCGCTGGAAGTGGCCGGCGGCGGCGGCCGGCTGGCCCAGGTCGCGCAGGGCGGCGGCCAGCTCGAGGCACAGGCCGGCGGCGGCGGCCGGCTGGCCCAGCTCCAGGTGCAGGCGCACGGCGGCGCCCAGCGCGCTGGCGGCGGCCTGCAGCGGCTCCCCGTAGGCCGCGGGGCAGGCGAGGCGCTGGCGGGCGTCGCGCTCCTGCCGCAGGAAGAGGCGCGCGGCCTCGGTCAGCGCCAGCGCCTCCCCGGGCCCGTGGAACAGCGCCTGCTGGCAGCGCGCCACGGCCAGCTGGCACCACGCGGCGTACGGCAGGCACTCCTGCGCGCGCAGCTCGCGGCCCAGCTGCGCGAACTGCTCGCCCGCCTCCGCCATGTTCGGCTTCCGCAGGAACCGCTTCCGCAGCTTGCTGGACACCTGCCGGTAGCGGGCCAGGAAGTCCCCGGCCTCGGGCCCCGGGCCCGCGCCGCCGCCGCCGCCGCCGCCGCCGCGCGCCGCCCGGGCCGCCGCCGCCGCCGCCGCCGCCCGGGCCGCCCGGGCCGCCCGCCGCCGCCGCCGCCATCTTGCCCGCACGCGCGCACGCGCGCACGCCCGACGTGCCCGCGTCCCCCGGCCCCGGCCCCGGCCCCGCCCCCTGCGGGCCCCGCGCATGCGTGCGCCGCGCCCCGCCGTCCCGGCCGACGGAACCCAGCGCGCGGGCCGGCGCGGCCCTCCCGACGCGACCGCGGCCACCGGGTCGGCCCGCGCCCCCCGGCCCCTCCCGGGCCCCGAGCTAACGTCGCGGCGCCGGCCCGCGTGGCCCCGAGGCCGCTTGGCCGGTGTCACGATGGTCCCCGCCCCCCCAGCCTTCCGTCAAAGCCCTGTCCCCTCGAGTCCGCGCCGGCACCTGTGTCCCCCATTCGCTCCGCGCCGGCAGCTGTGGCCCCGCAACAGTCCGCGCCGGCAGGTGTGTCCCCGCCAGAGTCCGCGCCGGCAGGTGTGTCCCCCAACAGTCCACGACGGCATTTGTGTCCCCCCATTCACTCCGCGCTGGCAGGTGTGTCCCCCAACAGTCCACGACGGCATTTGTGTCCCCCCATTCACTCCGCGCTGGCAGGTGTGTCCCCCAACAGTCCACGCCGGCAGGTGTGTCCCCGCCAGAGTCCGCGCCGGCAGGTGTGTCCCCCAACAGTCCACGCCGGCAGCTGTGTCCCCCAACAGTCCACGCCGGCAGCTGTGTCCCCGCCAGAGTTCGCGCCGGCAGGTGTGTCCCCCAACAGTCCACGCCGGCAGGTGTGTCCCCCAACAGTCCACGCCGGCAGCTGTGTCCCCCTCCATCCCGCACCCAGGTTGTTAGGACACCAGCGTTCACCCCATCACCACGCCGCAGGCATGGTCCTGACCTCCAGCCCCACACGCGACATCGTCCTCGGGACCGGCCCATGTGGTGGTGGGGGGTCTTCTATGCCCCAGCGTCACCCCCAACGCGGCCACCCCTGCCCTGACCCCGAGGGAAGCCGGTCTTGGGTGTCATCACGGACTCCGAGCCGTCCCCGCACCCCAGCCGGACCCCGCCCCAGCCCCCGTCCCCGCACCCCAACACTGCCCCGGACCCCACGACCGAACCCCGCACCACGCCCACGAACCGGCGCCCCACGCCGCACCCCAAATCCTCCATCACCCCCGAAGCGTGCACCTCCACCGTGCGCCGCCGAGGGCACCCCAACCCCCCCGTCATCCCCGAGCCCCGCACCCCCACCCCAACCTCGCCCACGACCCCAAACCCAACCTCCCCCCAGACCCGCCCCCGCCCCCCCCGCCCTCCCCCCGAGGCGCGTCCCGCACCCAGTGAGCGAGGCGCACACGTCTGGTCGTCTCTGCGCTTTTTATTGCGGGGACGCGGGGGTCACCGAGCCCCCCCGGCGGCTCCCCGGGCGGGGGCGGGGATCAGGGGCCGGGGCGGGGGCGGCTGGTGCCCGGCCGGGGGCGGCTAGTACCGGGCCGGGGCCACCTGGGACACGGTGGTCATCGTGAACAAGCCGCTGAGCAGCTCGTGGTTGTGCAGCGCCCGGTCCACGAGCTCCGGGGTGATGTACGCGCTGCGCCTGTGCCGGGCCTCGTCGCCCGCCAGCCCCAGCACGGTGGCCGTCAGGAACTGGATGACGGCCGCCAGGAAGATGGGGGCGGACGCGCCCAGGCGATTGGCGTAGCGGCCGGCCCGCAGGAGGCGCTCCACCTGGCACACGGAGAAGGCCAGCCCGGCGCGGGCGCTGCGCGAGCGGCACGACCTGGGGCGGGCGGCCCGCCCTCCACGGCTCCCCCGGAGCCGCGTGCGGGGCCTCGGCGGCGCTCGGCGCGGGGCCTCGGGCTGCGGCCCGGCTGCGGCCCGCCTGCGGACGGTCGGGCGTCGGGCCGCGGAGCCACGGGCCTCGGGCTGCGGAGACCCCGGGCTGCGGGCCGTCGGGCGTCGGGCCGCGGAGCCACGGGCCTCGGGCTGCGGAGACCCCGGGCTGCGGACCGTCGGGCGTCGGGCCGCGGGGACATGGGGCCTGGGCCGCGGAAACATCAGGCTGTGGACAGAGAGACACTGGCCTCGGGCTGCAGAGAGATGGGTCAAGGGCTGCAGACAGACGGGCCTCAGGCTGCAGAGAGACCGACCTCGGGGTGCAGAGGCCGACCTCGGGCTGCAGAGAGTCCGACCTCGGGCTGCAGAGACCGACCTTGGGCTGCGGAGACACGGGCCTCGGGTTGCAGAGTCCGACCTCGGGCTACAGAGACCGAACTCAGGCTGCGGAGAGACGGGCCTCGGGCTGCAGAGAGACCGACCTCGGGCTGTAGAGAGACCGACCTCGGGCTGCAGAGACCGACCTCGGGCTGCAGAGAGTCCGACCTCGGGCTGCAGAGAGTCCGATCTCAGGCTGCAGAGAGTCCGATCTCAGGCTGCAGAGACCGACCTCGGGCTGCAGAGAGACCGACCTCGGGCTGCAGAGACCGAACTCGGGCTGCAGAGAGTCCGACCTCGGGCTACAGAGACCGGCCTCGGGCTGCAGAGAGTCCGATCTCAGGCTGCAGAGAGTCCGATCTCAGGCTGCAGAGACCGACCTCGGGCTGCAGAGAGACCGAACTCGGGCTGCAGAGACCGACCTCGGGCTGCAGAGTCCGACCTCGGGCTGCAGAGAGTCCGATCTCAGGCTGCAGAGAGTCCGATCTCAGGCTGCAGAGACCGACCTCGGGCTGCAGAGAGACCGAACTCGGGCTGCAGAGAGACCGACCTCGGGCTGCAGAGACCGAACTCGGGCTGCAGAGAGTCGGACCTCGGGCTGCAGAGAGTCCGATCTCAGGCTGCAGAGAGTCCGATCTCAGGCTGCAGAGACCGACCTCGGGCTGCAGAGAGACCGACCTCGGGCTGCAGAGACCGACCTCGGGCTGCAGAGTCCGACCTCGGGCTGCAGAGAGTCCGATCTCAGGCTGCAGAGAGTCCGATCTCAGGCTGCAGAGACCGACCTCGGGCTGCAGAGAGACCGAACTCGGGCTGCAGAGAGACCGACCTCGGGCTGCAGAGACCGAACTCGGGCTGCAGAGAGTCGGACCTCGGGCTGCAGAGGCCGACCTCAGGCTGCAGAGAGACCGAACTCGGGCTGCAGAGAGTCCGACCTCGGGCTGCAGAGACCGACCTCGGGCTGCAGAGAGACCGACCTCGGGCTGCAGAGACCGGCCTCGGGCTGCAGAGAGTCCGATCTCAGGCTGCAGAGACCGACCTCGGGCTGCAGAGAGACCGACCTCGGGCTGCAGAGACCGAACTCGGGCTGCAGAGACCGACCTCGGGCTGCAGAGTCCGACCTCGGGCTGCAGAGAGTCCGATCTCAGGCTGCAGAGAGTCCGATCTCAGGCTGCAGAGACCGACCTCGGGCTGCAGAGAGACCGACCTCGGGCTGCAGAGAGACCGACCTCGGGGTGCAGAGACCGAACTCGGGCTGCAGAGAGTCGGACCTCGGGCTGCAGAGTCCGACCTCGGGCTGCAGAGAGTCCGATCTCAGGCTGCAGAGAGTCCGATCTCAGGCTGCAGAGACCGACCTCGGGCTGCAGAGAGACCGAACTCGGGCTGCAGAGAGACCGACCTCGGGCTGCAGAGACCGAACTCGGGCTGCAGAGAGTCGGACCTCGGGCTGCAGAGGCCGACCTCAGGCTGCAGAGAGACCGAACTCGGGCTGCAGAGAGACCGACCTCGGGCTGCAGAGACCGAACTCGGGCTGCAGAGAGTCGGACCTCGGGCTGCAGAGGCCGACCTCAGGCTGCAGAGAGACCGAACTCGGGCTGCAGAGAGTCCGACCTCGGGCTACAGAGACCGGCCTCGGGCTGCAGAGAGTCCGATCTCAGGCTGCAGAGAGTCCGATCTCAGGCTGCAGAGACCGACCTCGGGCTGCAGAGAGACCGAACTCGGGCTGCAGAGACCGACCTCGGGCTGCAGAGTCCGACCTCGGGCTGCAGAGAGTCCGATCTCAGGCTGCAGAGAGTCCGATCTCAGGCTGCAGAGACCGACCTCGGGCTGCAGAGAGACCGAACTCGGGCTGCAGAGAGACCGACCTCGGGCTGCAGAGACCGAACTCGGGCTGCAGAGAGTCGGACCTCGGGCTGCAGAGAGTCCGATCTCAGGCTGCAGAGAGTCCGATCTCAGGCTGCAGAGACCGACCTCGGGCTGTAGAGAGACCGACCTCGGGCTGCAGAGACCGACCTCGGGCTGCAGAGTCCGACCTCGGGCTGCAGAGAGTCCGATCTCAGGCTGCAGAGAGTCCGATCTCAGGCTGCAGAGACCGACCTCGGGCTGCAGAGAGACCGAACTCGGGCTGCAGAGAGACCGACCTCGGGCTGCAGAGACCGAACTCGGGCTGCAGAGAGTCGGACCTCGGGCTGCAGAGGCCGACCTCAGGCTGCAGAGAGACCGAACTCGGGCTGCAGAGAGTCCGACCTCGGGCTGCAGAGACCGACCTCGGGCTGCAGAGAGACCGACCTCGGGCTGCAGAGACCGGCCTCGGGCTGCAGAGAGTCCGATCTCAGGCTGCAGAGACCGACCTCGGGCTGCAGAGAGACCGACCTCGGGCTGCAGAGACCGAACTCGGGCTGCAGAGACCGACCTCGGGCTGCAGAGTCCGACCTCGGGCTGCAGAGAGTCCGATCTCAGGCTGCAGAGAGTCCGATCTCAGGCTGCAGAGACCGACCTCGGGCTGCAGAGAGACCGACCTCGGGCTGCAGAGAGACCGACCTCGGGGTGCAGAGACCGAACTCGGGCTGCAGAGAGTCGGACCTCGGGCTGCAGAGTCCGACCTCGGGCTGCAGAGAGTCCGATCTCAGGCTGCAGAGAGTCCGATCTCAGGCTGCAGAGACCGACCTCGGGCTGCAGAGAGACCGAACTCGGGCTGCAGAGAGACCGACCTCGGGCTGCAGAGACCGAACTCGGGCTGCAGAGAGTCGGACCTCGGGCTGCAGAGGCCGACCTCAGGCTGCAGAGAGACCGAACTCGGGCTGCAGAGAGACCGACCTCGGGCTGCAGAGACCGAACTCGGGCTGCAGAGAGTCGGACCTCGGGCTGCAGAGGCCGACCTCAGGCTGCAGAGAGACCGAACTCGGGCTGCAGAGAGTCCGACCTCGGGCTACAGAGACCGGCCTCGGGCTGCAGAGAGTCCGATCTCAGGCTGCAGAGAGTCCGATCTCAGGCTGCAGAGACCGACCTCGGGCTGCAGAGAGACCGAACTCGGGCTGTAGAGAGACCGACCTCGGGCTGCAGAGACCGACCTCGGGCTGCAGAGACCGACCTCGGGCTGCAGAGAGTCCGATCTCAGGCTGCAGAGACCGACCTCGGGCTGCAGAGAGACCGAACTCGGGCTGCAGAGAGACCGAACTCGGGCTGCAGAGAGACCGACCTCGGGCTGCAGAGAGACCGAACTCGGGCTGTAGAGACCGACCTCGGGCTGCAGAGACCGACCTCAGGCTGCAGAGAGTCCGATCTCAGGCTGCAGAGAGACCGAACTCGGGCTGCAGAGAGTCGGACCTCGGGCTGCAGAGGCCGACCTCAGGCTGCAGAGAGACCGAACTCGGGCTGCAGAGAGTCCGACCTCGGGCTGCAGAGACCGACCTCGGGCTGCAGAGAGACCGAACTCGGGCTGCAGAGACCGACCTCAGGCTGCAGAGAGTCCGATCTCAGGCTGCAGAGACCGACCTCGGGCTGCAGAGAGACCGAACTCGGGCTGCAGAGAGTCCGACCTCAGGCTGCAGAGAGACCGAACTCGGGCTGCAGAGAGTCCGACCTCGGGCTGCAGAGAGACCGACCTCGGGCTGCAGAGAGTCCGACCTCGGGCTGCAGAGACCGAACTGGGGCTGTGGAGAGACGGACCTCGGGCTGCGCTGCCGAAACGGCGTCGGGGCGCAGAGAGGAGCCCCGGGGTGCACCGCCGTGCGGCGCGCTGGGCCGGCTGCTCCCGAGCCCTCCGCAGCGGGCGATGACGCCCCGCTCCGTATCCGAGGGACACAACCCCTCCTCGCCCCGCTGTGCACGTGGTGACACGCAGGCCTGATGAGGTCACCCCGTCCCCATTGGCCCCGCCCGGCCCTCGCCCGCCAGAAAAGCCGCTGGCGGGAAGTCGCTGGCTCTGCGCCGCGCGGACGGCAGGAGCTCGCGGCGCCACCACGTGCACCCCCGACATGTCGGCCCTCTCGGGTGCACACGCGGCACCACCCCGCACAGACGGCCCGGCCGCCGCGCGCTCACTGCCCCCTGCACCCCCTCCTGCCCCGGGGCACCGCTCCTCGGCCTCCCGTCCCTGCCGCTTGGCGTCCGCTAGACGCCTGCCGCAGGTGCCACCCTGGGACCAGTAGGTGGCCGTGTGCGCCGGCCGCGTTCCCTCGGCACCATGTTCTCGGGAGGGCTGTTGTCCGAGGGAGCGGGAATCGGGGCCCCCAAGGGAAAGGAATCGGGGGCCCTCCCCCCCCCCCGAGGGAGCAGGAATAACGGCCTCCTCCCCCCCTCCGAGGGAGCAGGAATCGGGGTCCCTCCCCCCCCTCCGAGGGAGCAGGAATAACGGCCTCCTCCCCCCCCCTCCGAGGGAGCAGGAATCCGCCCCTCCCCCCAAGGGAGCAGGAATTGGGGTCCCTCCGCCCGAGGGAGCAAAAGACGGACCTCGGGCTGCAGAAAGACTGACCTCGGGCTGCGGAGAGACGGACCTCGGGCTGCGCTGCCGAAACGGCGTCGGGGCGCAGAGAGGAGCGCGCGGGTGCACCGCCGTGCGGCGCGCTGGGCCGGCTGCTCCCGAGCTCTGAGCCGCGGGCGATGACGCCCCGCTCCTTATAAACGCGACACCCCCTCCCCGCCCCACTGCGCACGCGGTGACACGCAGGCCTGATGAGGTCACCGCGTCCCCATTGGCCCGGCCCTCGCCCACCAGAAAAGGCGGGAAGTCGCTGGCTCTGCGCCGCGCGGACGGCATAGGGCGCCACCGACCAGCGTGCAGGAGCTCGCGCGCCACCAGGTGCACCCCCGACATGTCGGCCCTCTCGGGTGCACACGCGGCACCACCCCGCACAGACGGCCCGGCCGCCGCGCGCTCACTGCCCCCTGCACCCCCTCCTGCCCCGGGGCACCGCTCCTCGGCCTCCCGTCCCTGCCGCTTGGCGTCCGCTAGACGCCTGCCGCAGGTGCCACCCTGGGACCAGTAGGTGGCCGTGTGCGCCGGCCGCGTTCCCTCGGCACCATGTTCTCGGGAGGGCTGTTCTCCGAGGGAGCGGGAATCGGGGCCCCCAAGGCAAAGGAATCGGGGCCCCCCCCCCCGAGGGAGCAGAAATAACGGCCTCCTCCCCCCCTCCGAGGGAGCAGGAATCGGGGCCCCTCCCCCCACTCCGAGGGAGCAGGAATCGGGGCCCCTCCCCCCTCCGAGGGAGCAGGAATCGGGGCCCCTCCCCCCCTCCGAGGGAGCAGGAATCGGGGCCCCTCCCCTCGAGGGAGCAGGAATCAGGGCCCCTCCCCTCGAGGGAGCAGGAATCCGGGCCCCTCCCCCCCCTCCGAGGGAGCAGGAATCGGGGCCCCTCCCCTCGAGGGAGCAGGAATAACGGCCTCCTCCCCCCCTCCGAGGGAGCAGGAATCGGGCCCCTCCCCCCCTCTGAGGGAGCAGGTATCGGGCCCCTCCCCCATAGGGATCAGGAATCGGGGTCCCTCCACCAAGGGACAGGAGTCGGGGTCCGTCCCCCCAGGGAGCAGGAATGGGCCCCCCGAGGGAGCAGGGATCACCCTGCACGTCCGTCGAGGGCCGACTCGCCCCCATTGCGCGCAGAGCCCCGGGGTCGCCCCGCTGCGCACCCGGTGGCCCACCTGGCGGCGAGGGGCACCTGCCGGCGGACGTGCGCGGCGGCGGCGAAGGTCGTCGGGTCGTCGCGTTTCCGACGCCCCCGGGGCCCCTCCGGGCCGGGATGGGGGGCCCGACGGCAGGGCGACACCCGCTGTCTGGGCAGCGCGCTGAGCCTGGCCCCCTGCTCCCCCCGCGTCGCCCCACTGGCCCTGGCCCGCGCGTGGTCCTCCCGGTGCGGCCTCGCGAGCCCCCGCGCCGGCTGTGCCGCGGCACCTGGGGGTCACTGTCCCCCGTGTGTAGGGAGGGGCAGGGCGGGGCCCGAGGGACAGGGAGCTCCGGCAGGTGCAGGCCGCTGACCCGGGGCCCCGTGGAGCCTCCGGGCTCCCCCCGCCCCCCCCAGGGCTGCCGACCCGAGCCTGGGCTGCAGGCGGTCGTCCAGCTGCCCCCCCCCCCGGGCTGGGCCTGTCGCGCCCCCGGGTCCCGAACGCCGCCCCGCGGTGCCAGCAGCGGCCGGTCGGCGCGGCGGGAGGGCTGCAGGTGCGCCGGGACCGGGCGGGGCCCTCCCACTGGGTGCCCCTCCAGGCGGCCCCTGCACTCGGGCTGCGCAGGGCGGGGGGTGGGGGCATCCCGGCGGGGGGTGCGACCTGTCTGTCGCCTGGGCCCGTCTGGGCGGCGACGCGACACGTTCAGGTCCTGAAACGGGGGGGGGGGGCTTCCCTCGTATTTGGGGCCTGCCGAGGTACTTTCAGCAAGGTTTTCCTTTCAGCAAGTCCAATTCCTGCACATCTTCAGCTAATTTTATTCTTTGCCATGTACGGCGAAAGGAATTCTTTTGTTTTTCTACTAGATTTTTATTTAAATTCCAGTTGTTTGAGGTACAGTGTAACATGAGTTCCGGGTATGGAATTCAGTGATTGGACACCTACGGACAGCACCCGGCGCTCATCCCAAGCTGCCTCCCTCGTCCCCGGCACCTACTTACCCCACTCCCCCGCCCCGCTGCCCATCACTGTGTTCTCTCTATTTGAGTCTGTTTCTTGGTTTTCCTGTTCCCGCTCTGCGTTCATTTGTCTTGCATCTTAAATCCTACTTGTGAGTGCAAGCTTGTGGCATTTGTCTCTCCCTGCCTGACTTATTTCACTTCACGTAAGCGTCTCTAGCTCCAACCATGTCATCGAAGAGGCCGACATCTCATTATCTTCCGTGCCTCAGTAATACTCCGTGGTGAACAGGTGCACTACATCTTTCCGTCCATTCGTCCATCCGGGGACGTCTGGGCACTTGCCTTAGTCGGGCTGCTGCCCACAATGTCGCTTAAACACTGGGGGGCACTATTCCTTCAAGCTGCTGTTTCTGTATCCTCCGTGTAAAGACCTAGTGGTGCAAACTTCTTGAGGACCCTCCACGCTGTTCTCCGGAGCCGCTGCACCGGCCTGTGCTCCCACTCGCAGTGCGAGAGGGCCCCCCTTTCTCCACATCCTCGCCAACACCCGTTGTCTCCTGATTTGTTGATTTTAGCCATTCTGACAGGTGTGAGCTGGGATCTCATTGTGGTTTTGATCTGCATCTCCCTGAGGATCAGTGATGTGGAGCATCTTGTCGGGTGTTTGTTGGCCATCTGGATGCCTTCTTTGGACAAATGTCTGTTCATGTCTTTTGTGCATTTTTAACTGGATTATTGGTTTTTTGGGCGTTGAGCTGTTTCAGTTCTCTATATATTTTGGATACTAACGCATATTTTCTGCCATATTTAGGGAACTCTTGTGCTCGTGGTTAACTTTATGTGTCACCTTGGATATGCTCTGGTACCCATTTATTCTGTCAAACATTTTTCTAGGTGTTTCAGAGGTATTTTTAGATGAGATTAACATTTAAATTACTAGAATTTCATCCCATCCCCTGTGGCCAATAAAATGGGAAAAGCATACTTAATTAAATAGTTTATTAATTAAAGTTCAGTAAAACAGAATATTCCCAATAATGTGGGGTGATTCTCATCCAATCAGTTGAAGGCCTTACTTGGAAAACACTAACTTCCCCCAAGGAAAACGGGATCTTCTCCGCACACTTTCTTTCGACGTGAACTGCAACACCAACTCTTCCCTAAGTCTCCAGCATGGTGGCCTAGCCAGCAAATTTTGGGATTGCCCTCCTCCACAATACCTTGAACCAATTCCTCATAATGCCTCTCTCTCTCTCTCTCTCTCTCTCTCTCTCCACACACACACACACACACACATTCCATTGTTTCTGGGTCTTGGAGAATCTTGACTAATACAAAATTTGATACTAAGATTCTACAGCAACAGAAACTTAAGAATGATTTTTCTTTTTTAAAAAAAGATTTTATTTATTCATGAGAGACACAGAGAAAGAGGCAGAGACACAGGCAGAGGGAGAAGCAGGCTCCCGATGTGGAACTCGATCCTGGAACATCCCAAGAATTATTTTTCTAAATTAGTTTTAGCACTTCTGGAATTGACTCTGTAGTCTGATTAGATTTGAAATTGCTAATGAGTCTACTGCCATTGTAAAGAGTACACTGGGGGATCCCTGGGTGGCTCAGCGGTTTAGTGCCTGCCTTGGGCTCAGGGCGTGGTCCTGGGGTCCCGGGATCAGGTCCCACGTCGGGCTTCATGCATGCAGCCTACATCTCCCTCTGCCTGTGTCTCTGCCTCTCTCTCTCTCTCTCTCTCTCTCTCTCTCTGTCTGTCTGTCTCTCTGTGTGTCTGTGTGTGTCTTGAATAAATAAATAAAATCAACAAAACTAAAAGGCAACCTGCAGAATGGATGAAGATATTTGTAAATTACATATCTGATAAAGGGTTAGTATCCCAAATCTATTTAAAAAAAACTTATACTCAACACCCAAAAAAAACAAATAATCCAGTTAAGAAATGGTCCAAAGGCATGGATCGATATTTTTCCCAAGAAGACATACAGATGGTTAATGGACGCATGAAAAGATGCTCAACATCACTTATCATCAGGGAAATGCGAATGGAAACCACAATGATATATATCACCTTATACCTGTCAGAATGGTTAAAATCAACAACACAAGCAACAACAGGTGTTGGTGAGAATCAGAGAAAGGGGAACCCTCTTATACTGTTGGCAGGAATACAAACTGGTGCAGCCACTCTGGAAAACAGTGTGGAGGGTCCTCATATGTTCAAATAGAACTGCCCTATTATCCAGCAATTGCAGTACTTGACATTTACCCCAAGAAAACAAAACTACCGATTTGAAGGGATGCATGCACCACAATGTTTATACCAGCATTAAGAATCAGAAATTAAAATTGTGAAAAGACACCAAGTGTCTATCAACTTATGGATAAAGCAGAAGATTATATATAGATAGATATTACTCAGTCATCAAAAAGATATATATATATAATGGAGGTATATATATATATATATAGAATAGAATATTACTCAGCCATCAAGAAGAATGAAATATTGCCATTTACAAAAACGTGGATAGAGCTAGAGAGTATTTTGTTAAGCAAAATAAGTAAAAGAAAGACAAATACCATATGATTTCACTCATATGTGGAGTTTAAGAAACAGAACAAATGATCATAGGGTAAGGGAAGATAGGAAAACCAAGAAACACACTCTTTTTTTTAAAAAAAAAAAAAAAGAGGCTCCACACCCAGACTGGAGCCCAATGCAGGACTTGAACTCACACCCCTGAGATCAAGACCTGAACTGAAATCAAGAGTCAACACTTAATGGACTGAGCCACTCAAGTGCCCCCAAAAACAGACTCTTAACTACAGAGAGCAAATTGGTCATGTCAGAGGGGAGGTGGTTTGGGGGATGGGTTGGATGGGTGATGGGGATTGAGGGCACTTGTGGTGAGTAGTGGGTGCCCTATGTAAGTGTTGAATCATTGTATTTATTGTACACCAGAATCTAGTATGACACTGATGTTATTTAACTGTAATTTATTAAAACCTTTAAAAAGCATCTGTTTTTGTGTATGTTTTCTTTTGCTTTTTAGATTCCACATAGAAGTGAAATTATATGATCCTTGTTCTTCTCTGTCTGACTTTTGTCACTTAACATCATACCCTCTAGGTCCATCCATGTCATCTCAATACGGAAAATGTCAAAGACACTCTGGGTGGCAGAGAAAAGAAAGTTCATGTTTTTCACGACGTGTTGAGGATGGTACAGAGCCCGTTGGGCTGTTGTACGCTGCTGTTGCCGCGGAGACGACAGGAGTGGTGGTTTTCCCATGAGGGCTGAGGACCGCGCAATGACTTGGATCCTTTAACATAAAAATCCATTTGAATGACTCAGTAAGTAGGCCACAGAGATGAAGAGAACAGCAGAGGGCACATGGCCAATGACGATGCGTGTTGACTCCACGTCTCTCTCGGTGAGGCCTGACTAACGCACAGGGTCCCTATGCAGTCGAGTCACCATGTCGTACACCCGAAACCAACAGGACACGGTATACCCACTGAAACCGACACAACATCGTGAATATCCATGCCACTTCAGTGATCAATAAAGTCATCTAAACAAATGAATAAGAACCCGTGCCGCTGGCTCGAAATGCAGAGTAGCGGTGGGGGCAAGGAGAAGTGGAAAGGTCTAAAAATACTCGGGAAGCAGAAGTGGCAGCGTCCTGAATGGACGTCGGGAAGAGAGAGGATGCCTCCGGCTCAGCGTGCTTCCCTGGAATTGCTGCTCTCCTCCCAAACTTACTGTCTTCCTTCACGGCTCATCTCAGTGAGCGGATCAGCCTGCTGGCACAGAGCAAGCACTCATTGATCGCCTTTGGAGTGAAAGGATGAATGAATAGAGTAGAAATAGGGCCAAATGGAGCGCTTGCCGGCGCCTGCCAAACAGCCAGGCCTAAACTCACCGTCAAGGTCGCCTCAGCAGAAGTCTATCACGGCCTCCCGGTCACCTTATCAACCGTCTGGAAAAGCACCAGGTCCCACAGGGTCCAGGAGAACACCTGCCTTCCTATAACGGGCACTCCCTGCCTAGAAGCTGCAGGTGTGCCACAGGCCGGGCTTTGCCACGAGCCTCTCGTCCTGTAAGTTCTTTACGTGAGGGAGGTGGCAGATTGTACGGCCCATATGAGTACAGGGCGCGTTTGGTGTGGCTGGAACAGGGTCACAGTGGCCCCCAACTGGTGGATCTACGTTCACTTTGGCTTCAATCAGAAAGAGCCTCTTCCCACCAGAGGGCGCCTGGGTGGTGCAGTCGGTTAAGCCACTGACTGTTGGTTTATCAGGTCCAGATCTCAGGGTCGTCAGATCAAGCCCCAGGTCAGGCTCTGCACTTAGTGCATTGTCTGGTTGAGGTTCTTTCTCCCTCTTCCTCTGCCCCTACTGCTCCTACTCATGCTCACTCTCACTCTCTCTCTTTATTAAATAAATAAATAAATAAATAAATAAATAAATAAATAAATAAATAAATCTTTTAAAAAGAAAAGGAAAGAGCCTCTTACCACCAAAGAGGTTTATTAATCCAGCTCCTTCCCCCACCGTCATCCTGGCAGGGACAAAATACAACCGGCAGAAAAAGTGCAGACACCAGGTGTCAGTTTGGATATTTTCTTGCTTCTCCCAGGGCTGACAAGCAGAGATACAGAACTGCTTGTGGTTCCTGGTACAGATACCAAAACTAGGAAGTGATCCGTCCCAGTGCAGATTTCCCAGAAGTAAGAATGAGATGAGACAAGCAAAGGACGCCCCCTGGACTCAACCAACGCAGCAAACATTCCCTGGTTATAGAAGAGAAGTGAAAGTCATAATCCGGAAGGGAAATTTGGCTGTGTGAGCAGTAGAATTGGGGGGTGGAGACATTTGATGAAGTGAAGTTTTTTTAACCCCCTTTTAGACAATATCATTAGATAAACATCCTTTTCAATGATACAACCCAAGTCATTTCTGGCCCTTTTCCTGGAAAAGCTTTTTACTGCTGTCAGTTTACAGGAACAGCAATAAGAGGCCATTTTCTGGGCATACAGCCCAGGACTCAAAGGGAGGCTCTAGAGAACATCTGGTCTGCTTGATATATAGAAGCCAGCACTGCATGTGTGTATTTGTGTGTATGTGTTTTTCCTATGCTGACTCATGGCATTGAAGTCTTTCTGGAAACACCCCCACCTTTGTAGCCAGCCAGTTTACACACACCCCTTCAGCTCCTCCTTGATTCAAATGTTAAGTCAAGAGGAAGAAGGAAAACAAGTTCGAGAGCTGCTCTCAAGCATCTAGAATTCTCTGCACCCCACCTCTTGAGAAGAGAGACTGGCCCCAGCTCTGACTCAGTCTACTACAAGCTGGACTCTCCTCTTAAAGCACGAACTTTATCTGAGCCTTTGGATAAAAGTGGAAGAAAAGAGTCCACAAGTACGGTGAACTCTGCAGGAGGCAGAGGGCTGACAACTGGCAGTAAAAACAGAAAGATGGCAGATCCTGAAATTGAACTTTTTGTGAAGGTAAGTTTTCTAGCTAAAATAACGGCATATGTATTATTTCTTGACATTGGACCTCAGATTCTAAAAAGACGTCAATATTTGGGCTAGAGATAAATTATTTTGTCATTATATTCTTCCTCTCAGTACTCGACATATGCCTGGCTGCTACATGATAATAGGAAAACACATTAGTATAAAAAGGCAAAGAGCTATTGTGGAAAGAGCACTGGACTGGTTGGTTAGTCAGAACAACCAAGTTATATTCTTGGTGGCTTCCTATGTAACTCTGGACAAATCTCTCCCTCCATCTGGACCTTTGTTTCTTCATCTGTACAATGTAGGAGACTGACAAAATGATCCTTAAGGGCTTTCTAGCTCTTGCAATCTGTGTTTTATGGGATGGGTTTTGGAAGGCCTAAATGGGGAAAGTATGGGCTGAGAGCCCCAATCCCACACATAGCCCAGATCGAGCTTTCTAAAATTCTCCCATAATAGATGAAGATCACAGTGTAGTCACATGGACACTATGGGAGAAAACAGCCAGGAGTCCGTGTGAGGAGTCTGTGTGAGGTGGAGGCATTTAGAATGTTGCGTTTCCTCTTTATGGTCTGCCTTGGGGTTTTTGGTAATGCCTTAACTTTTCAGAAAAGCCCTTTGGAAAACCCCTAAGGCAGGAGCAAGGAACATGTGTTTCTAAATTAACTCATCAAGAAAAATAATAATTCTGTATAAGTTATTCTAAGTATAAATTACAGTTTCCTTAAACTTTGCTTAGATTGACTATTTTTTCTCTATATTTTCCTTGACTGTTACAAGTATCCAGGATAATAATAATCATAGCAAACTCTCATATCATGTTTGGCTTTTTTTCTGAACACTTCACCTGTAGTACTCATATTTCCATATATTACCTCATTTGGTCCTAACACCTTACATTACTAGTACTAATAGGAGTAGTATCATGAGTAGGAGTAATGGTAGTAGTACTTGTCATTATAGTCATATTGTTGTTCTCATCTCTAGATAAGCAAGCAAAGGCAATAAAGTTTGTTACTTGCCTCTAAAACTAGATGTCTATTGATGACTTACAAAGACATAAAATAAAGTATGTCTACCAAATGCTAGTTTAAACTTCTGTTAGCCAAAGTAAGACTTTCACAATCATTTAAAAATATTTGTCAACTGGTCACATATATACACAAAGGGCATAATCAACCGCCTTTTCCAAACTATAGGAGAGTGATCCTTGAATTCCTGCATTGCAAAATAATCCAAGTAAGTGTTGGAGTATGGGGCATAAGAGCTACTTCTCTTATCTGTGGATTTCAGCAAAATATGTGACTGCTCAGACACAATATAAATTAGCCTTAATTTCCTAATTGGCTTTTCACATCTACCAATTTCAAACCACGGGTAATGTCTCTTCATAGGGCAACTAAAGTGTTCTTTTAGTCTAAACTACTCATTTAATCCAATCCAACTCCCCTAACTAGTTGTTGGCATTGATCTACATAAGTCAATCTTCATAAAATACCCATATTTGGGTACTAATCTGGACAGGAGAAGTTAGTGAATCATACATTGGATGAACAAATATTGGGTTAAGTAATAACTTTCAAGTTAAAATAACTAATCGTTTATTGAGTATTTACTATATGGCAGGCATTGTGTTAAGAGGTTTATTATTAACCTTATATTATAGATACAGAAAGTAAAGCAAAGAGTATCTAAGTAACTTTGTCCAGGGTCACATAGCCAGTGAATGGCAAGGTTAGAATTCCAATTTCTTAAAATAGTTATGTTTAATCTTATTGGCAAACTCTTTTTAGTGAATTTTTCCAGAATTTCATCAGATGGAATCCTTTAGATATAAGCTTATCTAATAACATTGATACAAATCACAGATTTTCTAGAAGAACGTTGAGGATCATCTGGTCCAGGTTTTTATTCTGTTTTGCTTTAAGGTGTGTTCCGCAGAGCTCCACAAGTTTCACAGAAGATACGGAGGTAGGGCATAAGGATTGAGAGGCATGAAAAATGTTAATGAGTAAGTTTAAAAAGCTCTGCTCTTTATCTATGGTATCTCATTATAGATCATGCAGTTTCTTTCTAAAGATGAAAGGAATCTGTGATTTCCTCAGCTACCTCTGGCTGTGGCCTAGAAACCCTACCACAACTTCCTCCCCAAATCACGGATGGGATACCTATAGGAGATTAAGCACTTTCCTGTTGTTACAATTAAGAATTCATATCACACTACCTACGTGTTTTAATGTAGCCCGTGAAAACATTGCCTTTCAGCTCTGAATGCCTTGGGCAAGATTTTTAACCATGAACTAAAATCAAAGTATTTTTTAAGATTTTACTTATTCATCCATGAGAGACACACAGAGAGAGAAAGGCAGAGATACAGGCAAAGGGAGAAGCAGGCTTCCGTGCAGGGAGCCCGACGTGGGACTCGATCCTGGGTCTCCAGGATCACACCCTGGACCGAAGGCGGCGTTAAACCGCTGCGCCACCCGGGCTGCCCATATTTTCTAACATACATTTTATTTTCTCTAAATGCAGACTCTATCTTACTGGTTTGTTGTTCATTGTTAAACAGATTGTGTGTTTTCTACCAAACACGCTAAAATGAAGTTTTAGTAGATCTTTACATAAAGTTATAGAACTGAACATTTGAGCCAAAATTCTGAATTTGTCAAAGCCATTTCACCTCATACCCTAACCCCTAACCCCTAACCTGAAGCTCCTAACCACTAACCATAACCCTAACCCTCTGGAGAGGTCTCTGAACTGAAAATACCACGTACATACCCTAACTCAAATCCTAACCCTAACCCATAACCACTAACCCAGTGAACCTAGTCCCTAAAATTGACCCTAACTGTAACCCTAACACTAAGCGTAACCCTCTGGAGAGGTCTCTGAACTTCAAAATACCAGGCACACACTCTAACCATAACACCTAAGCCCAGGAGAAGTCTGGGGTTAGATTCTCTGGTGAGTTCCTGAACTGCAAAATTCCAGGGACGTGCCCTAACCCTAACCCTTGATCTGAGGAAGTGGCTAACTGAACATAGGATTTAAAAAGCTGAGAAGCAGGGCACCCGGTGGCTCAGTGGTTTGAGCGTCTGCCTTTGGCTCAGGTCGTGACCCCAGGGTCCCGGGATCGAGTCCCACATGGGGCTTCCCACAGGGAGCCTGCTTCTCCCTGTGCCTGTGTCTCCGCCTCTCTCTCTGTGTGTGTCTCTCGTGAATAAATAAATAAGATCTTTAAAAATAATAATAAAGGAAAAAAGAAAGATAAGCTGAGAAGCAGCCTAGTTTTCCTAGAGATGACCGTAAACATGCAAGAATTGGTAGTATTGGAGCACCTGAGTGGCTCAGTTGGTTAAGTGTCTGACTCTGACTCTTGATTTCGGTTCAAGTCATGGTCTCAGAGTTGTGAGATTGAGCCCAGTGTTGGGCTCAACACTGGGTGTGGAGCCTGCTTAAGTTTCTCTCTCTCCCTTTCCTTCTCCTCCCTCCCTCCCTGTCTCATTCTCTCTCTCTTAAAAAAAAAAAAGAATTGGTAGTATTTCTGAAAATGGGTGTGAAGGTACAGGTAAAAACAGAAAAATCTATTGAATATATATTTAAAGAGTATTTAGGGGACGCCTGGGTGGCTCAGTGGTTGAGCGTCTGCCTGTGACCCAGGGCGTGATCCTGGAGTCCCGGGATCGAATCCCACGTCGGGCTCCCGGTGCATGGAGCCTGCTTCTCCCTCTGCCTGTGTCTCTGCCTCTCTCTCTCTCTCTCTCTCTCTCTCTCTCTCTCTCTCTCTCTGTGACTATCATAAATAAATAAAGAAAAAAATATTTTAAAAAAAGCATATCAATTTCTAAAAGTCCAACAAAAATTATTAGATGGGAGAAAACGTTGTTTAAGGGTTTGGGTTTTGGAGTACACAGTCCTGGACTTGCTACAGGAGAAGAGTATATAGGTCATCAGCTATTGACTAGCTGAGTGTATTTTAACAAGTCAATTTCTCTGATCCTCAGTTTCCTCATCTGTAAAACAAGAATTTGTTTTATAAATTTATTTTTTATTGGTGTTCAATTTGCCAACATATAGCATAACACCCAGCGCTCATCCCATCAAGTGCCCCCCTCAGTGCCCGTCGCCCAGTCACCCCCACCCCCCGCCCACCTCCCCTTCCACCACCCCTAGCTGTTTCCCAGAGTTAGGAGTCTCTCATTAAAACAAGACTGTTAAAAATTAATTAATTAATTAATTAATTAATTAATTAAACAAGAATGTTAACAGAACCTACCTCATGGGATCACCTTCACTGTGTGGATCAAAAATAAATAAATATGTAAAGCACTGTAGTTGTTAACTAGTAGACATTTAATAAAAGTCAAATATGGTGGCTATTATTATTTTTCATGTTTAGAAACTTAGATCACAGACATACAGAGAAAAAAATGGTTTTTGAATGAATGACCACATCCTGTCCTTGCCAGCTAAATATACTTAAGAGTTGGTAGTTCATCAATGAGGCTAGTGCATTTACATCCTAAGATTTTCTGTGATGGCACTTTAAATCAGCATATTGCAAACAGGGGGAAAAAACGGTTTTCCTGTAAAACTTGACTGCATTTCCCCCACATCTCAATGTTTTGCCTTTCCTTTTGCCAAAGGCGATCCACCCTTCCTGCTGTATCTATTCTCAGACTCCATTCTTCTTCCTGCCTCCCACCCATAATGGAGTTTCTACTCACTAGGCCCAGTTCTGATTGGATCCCTAGTTTGACTTCTGTTACAAAGGAAACACAGCTGCCAAAGTTGGGTGCCTCTTCCCATAGCTCTTCACTCCCTGACATCACAAAAGAACAACCGTAACCATCATTTCCTCTCTTGTACCCATTGCCAGGGAAAGGAAAATTTGCCAAAAAAAATTAGGATTATGCCCAAGGCTTCTGGGACTTTGATATTGTTAGGAATGACGGATCCGAGCAGCTTTAAGGTGAAGTGCC